TCTGTCTGTCTGTCTGTCTGTCTGTCTGTCTGTCTGTCTGTCTGTCTGTCTATCTATCTATCTATCTATCTATCTGTCTATCTATCTGTCAATCTATCTTTACCTATCTATCTATACATATGTATGTGTGTATGTGTGTGTGTGTGTATGTATGTATGTATGCATGTATGCATGTATGTATGTATGGTATTGAGCTTTGTTTGGGTATTTTCCCACGTCATTATAGTTATGCTTTTAAAGTTGTAGCAACGTTTGGGCAGAATCTCATCTGCCATCATCAGGCTTCTGTATTGTGTTCGTCTGTGACGAACACTATACAGATGAACAGACGAACACTATACACACTATACACACTATACACTATACACAGACGAACACAATACAGAAGCCTGATGATGGCAGATGAGATTTTGCCGAAACGTTGCTACAACTTTAAAAGCACAACTATAATGACATGGGAAAATACCCAAACAAAGCTGAATACCATACATGTAAGTACCCGCGAAAACTTAAGAAAACATATATGTGTGTGTAACTTTCTTCTTTCTTTCCTTTTTCTTCTTCTTTTCTTTCCTTTCTTTCTTTTTCTTCCTTTCTTCTTTCCTTCCTTTCTTTCTTTTCCTTCCTTCCTTCCTTCTTTCCTTCCTTCCTTTCTTTTTCTTTCTTCCTTCCTTTCCTTCCTTCCTTTCTTGTAATCCTCAAGGCCACAATTAACCCCCAAATTTCTTTTGCTATGAGAGACCGTTGTTCAGTGAGTTTTGCCCCATTTGACAACCTCTCTGGCCAGGGTTGTTAAGTGAATCACTGCAGTTGTTAAGTTAGTGAATAATTGTTGTTAAGTGAATCTGGCTTCCCCATTGACTTTGCTTGTCGGAAAGTCCCAAAAGGTGATCACATGACCCCGGGGCTCTGCAACCGTCATAAATATGAGTCAGTTGCCAAGCGCCTGAATTTTGCTGCAATAGTTGTGTGGACAATGGCCATAAGCCACTTTGATCAGTGCCACTGTAACTTCGAATGGCCACCAAACAAACGTCGTAAGTCGAGAACCACCTTTACAAAAATGACCATTAGAGACCGACTGCATCTACTGTCAGTAAAATGTGATATTAGGGCAAGAAAATAAGGGGGGGGGGAAATTTGCTTGTCCTGCTTTAATTCTTCTTGATGGCTTTCAAGATTCTGCTCTCTTAACTTACAGCGATAAAGTCAAATTCTACTATTTCTGGTAGTCGTTATTTCCTGACCTGGCCTGCCTTGCAGGGCTGACATTTTTTTTCCTGATTATTTTTCTCTCCCCCTTACAGATGAGCTCTGCGCCTGGAGTGAAGAAGAATGCAGGAACTTTGAACATGGATTCCGGGTGCATGGAAAAAACTTCCACCTCATTCAAGCCAACAAGGTAATTTGAAAGCCACCCACTTTCAAAACGAAGCCAGGTATCTGTAGGTCCTCTGTGAGCGCAGGTGAGTCTCAAGTAGGATTGGGGCCAGGGGGCGGCTGCCATTTTTTTAACAACCGGTTCTCTGGCTGGGTAGGTGTGGCCGGTTGGTCATGTGACTGGATGGGCGATGTCAGTCACCACACCCAGCCCCGCCTCCCAGCGGGGCTAATCCCAACACTGGCTGGCCCTGTCCCCGCCCATTTTTCGGCCTGTTTTTTGGACTGTTTTGGGGGCATTTTCAAGCTGTTTTCAGACCCTTTTGGGGCTGTTTTTCCAGCCAAAATCTGCCTGAAAACAGACCTAAAAACAGACTATTTTGGGCCGTTTTCAGGCCATTTCGGGGGGCAAAATCAGCCTGAAAATGGCCTCCAAAACAGCCTGAAAGTCCAAAAAAAACAGGCCATTTTCAGGCTGTTTTTAGGCCGATTTTTGCCCCCAAAATGGCCAAAAACAGCCTAAAAAATAGGTGGGCAGGGCCAGCTGGTGATCTGATTTGCTGGTTCTCCGAACCGTGCAAAATCGGAACAAGGAGTTCAGGTGAACCGGTCCGAACCTGCAGCAGCACACCTCTGTTTCTGGCTCCATTGCAAAGGTATAGAAGAAAAGGCTAGGTTGCAGGAGGCTGACTTCATTTCTTACCCCTTGTTACCTTCTTGCATGGTCTGGCAAGTTTGGGCATCGTGATGGCAATTTAGACCAAGGGCGTCCAACCTTAGCAAGTTTATGACCTGTGAACTTCAACTCCCAGAATTCCTCAGTCAGCCATGTGGATTTGACTCTGCTCGTCACAACTGACTTTATGGGTGGTGCGCATCTCTGTTTCAAGGTCATTGAGCTGTGTGTAGTCATGACTTCACAGAGCACTGTTACCTTCCCACCGAAGTGGTACCTATTTATCCACTCACATTTACCATGCTTTCAAACTGTTAAGTTAGCAGGAGCTGGGGCGAGGGAAAGGAGCTCACCCCGTCACATGGCGCTGGGGTCTTGAACCTGGGCTTTCCAGCCAACAAGCCCAGCACCTTAAGCACTGAGCCATGCGCCTCCACAGTCAGCCATGGTGACTGGGGAATCCTGGGAGTTGAAGTCCACAGGTCTTAAAGTTGCCAAGGTTGAACACCCCTTCAGGGGCCCAAGGTGTTGTGGTTCGCCGGCAGACGGTGGAGACGGCAGTGGAGTCAGACCGTGAGGAAGAAAGGGGACCAGTCAGGGAGTCTGGAGAGGACTCGGATGAGACTCCTGCGTCTGATGTAGGGATGGGGCCAGGACCATCTGGGAGTGGAGTGCTGCCTTCGGAGTTTGGCAGCAGCGAAGCAGAGGATCCAGGGGAGCCTGCTCCCAATACGTGTGTGCACAGAACTGCTAGAAGGCGAGAGCAGCTGAAACAGAAGGGGCGACTCGGGAGTAAGGCTGGGAGGTGATTGCCCCTCCCATAAGGGATAAAAGTCAGACCTCAATGACGGCATCTTTGCAGGAAGCAAAGTAGTTTGATAGATTCCGAGTCCTTGAAGCTCTGTGTACTCTGGTCAGTTTTTTCTGGTACTTCGGTTGGTTTCTGTTATAATTCATTTGGATACTTCTGTTTTTTGGCAGCATTCCACAGCACTGAAAGGTGTGTGGTTTGGGGAACTGTTTAAGATTAGTTCTGGCTGGGAATGCAAGTAATTCCCAGCATTGCATTAAAATAGGCTTTGCTTTTAAAACAAGTTTGTGTTTCATTGTGTTTTACAAAGCCTGGGTCAGAACACAAGGTTAGGAATGTTACTGGCTTACATGGATCTCTCTCTATGCTCTCAGGTGACATGGAACACATGCCCACTTTCAAAACCAGCCTGATACCTGGAGGTTTAATTTCTTTCACATCCTACCTGCGGGTTTCTGAGGTAACTGTGGGCTACATGACAGGCCATCCCTGAAGCAGCCCCAGCTTGAGGGAACTATCTCTTCACAGAATTGCTAAGCAAGGCCGGTTTTAAGTGAGCCATGCCTGATTTGGCACCTTTTTTTTTTTTGCCACGGTTATTAAGTGAATCATTGCCATTGTTAAGTAAATCAAAGGGTCATTAAAGGGTCAGTGAGGGAATCCACCTTCCCTCATTGATCCTGACTGTCAGAAGCTGGCTGGGAAGGTCACAAATAGTGACTCACATGGCTGAGGGACACTGAAATTGTCATAAATACACACTGGTTGCCAAATGCCAGAATATTAATCACGTAACTCTGGGAATGCTGTGACGGTCATAAGTCGAAGACCAGCTGTAAGTCACTTTTTTTGTGGTGTTGTAACATGGGACAGTGGCTAAAACCTAAGAATAGGGTAGGGTAGGAATAGGAATAGAATGTAGAGTGGAGTGGAATGGAATAGGAATAGAAATAGAATAGAAACTTTATTGTCACTTTGAATGTACACTAATCGGCATACATTAAGATGAAATTTTGTTGCATTCAGCTCTCAAAAGATAACCATTACACATATATCCACATACACATATACAACACACAGAAAAACATCACAGTCTAATGGTCGTAAGTTGAGGACTACACTGTTACTTTTCTCACCGAAGTGCTACCTATTTATCTACTCGCATTTGCGTGATTTAAAACAGCTAGGTTGGCAGGTGCTGGGATGAAAATGGGAGTTCACCCCATTGTGTGGCACTCTGGCCTCAAACCTGGACTGTTGTTGTGGTTAGCCGGCAGCAGCTGCAGACGGTGGAGGAGAGCGAGGACTCGGATGAGAGGCCAGGACCATCAGGGAGTGGACTGCTGCCTTCAGGGATTGTGGGGGCTGGCAGCAGTGATGAGGAGGTTCCCGAGGAGCCTGTGCCAAGTGCGCGTGTGCGCAGGAGGATTCGTAGAAGAGAACAGCTGGAGCAGCACAGGCGACTCGGGAGTAAGGATGCAACGTAATGGCCCCTCCCTCCAGAGGATATAAGCCTGGTTTCAAAAGGTTTTTGTATTACAGATAGTTTTTTGTTTTTGTTTTAAACCACATTCATTTATCTCAATCTGTCCTGTTCTACTTTTTAGCCCTGGAGGTTTCCAAAGTGGTTTTCGTGGCTACAGCAGATCATGATAAACCTGATTTAACAAACCACAGTTACTGTTATTCATTTACTGTTTATTGATTATGGTAATTTGCACTCGGACTACTTGTCAGACGGTGGACATTAAAACATTAAACCTTGTATAGGTGGTCTTCAATTTACAGCCATTCATTTTGTAACCGTTTGAAGTTACAAGAGCACTGAAAAAAATGACTTGTGATTTTTCATACTTACAACACCCCCCATGGTCACGTGATTTACATTCGAATGCTTCACAACTGTCTCATATTTATGACCATTACAGTGTCGCAGAGTCATGTGATCCCCCTTTGCGTCCTTCTGACAAGCAAAGTCAATGGGGAAGCCAGATTCACTTAACAGCTGTGTCACTAACTTAATAATTTCACTGATTCACTTAACACCAACAGCGGCAAGAAAGGTTGTAAAATGGGGCAAAACTCCCTTAAAAACTGTCTTGCTTAGCAATGGAAAATGTGGGCTCTGTTGTAGTCGTAAGCCAAGGACTACCCATATAACAGAATGCCAAATTGGAATACAGTTAGCCTATCAGCTCTGAAGCGAACCTGGCTGAAGCCATCTTGTCCTGCCTCACAGTTGCTCTAAGCCTGAGAGAGGGAAGGGTAGATAGCCTGGCTAACAGTCAAAACAAAAAGTTTTCCTGTGGGAACCAAGGTCATCGTAACAGGTGGCTGGTGAAGGAGGAGAGCAGCCTGCCAGCCATATTCATTGGACAGTGTGACTGATGACACCGGGGAGGAGAGAAGCACTAATCTTTTAATTGGATGAAAACCGCAGGAACTTTCAGAGTTGGTTTTCACCGGCTGTGCCCAGTGGCGGGATTCCAAATTGAGCGCTACCGATTCTGCAGGCTTTGCGTGCGTGCGTGCATGCGCATGCAGCACTTAAAGATCACTTTGTGCGCGCACAGCACTCGAAGATCGCCTGAACTATTTCTTTTAGCTCAGCTGAGGCGCAGCAATCCGTTCTGCCACGCGAATCGGCTGAGCTAAAAGTCAACGGAATAAAGAACGGGAAAGAGCAGGGGAGGGTGAGCAGGGCCAGCCAGAAGTGGTATTTGCCAGTTCTCCTAACTGGCCAAAATTACCACTACAGGTACGCCAAAACAGTCCGAACCAGCTGAATACTACCTCTGGCTATTGCCGATATGATGTATCCGATAAGCCTGTTCTTAGAGGAATCTACCTGCCTCAAGACTCCTGCTTTCAATGAGGTGCATTGCTCGGAATGCTGCCGTATCCCTTGACATACGACCATAATGGAGCCTGCCTGATACAGTCAGAAGTCGTAGTAGTTGTAAACCAGGTCATCACAAGTCTTTCAAAGACTCATCTTCTTATACTGATCCTTGTTACCCTATCAAGGCTACAGGAGGCTTCCTATACCTGGCTGGGATAAAAAGAAAGTACATTTTAAAAGACCCTGGTATCTGTTTCCCATTCCTAGCAGGTCTGAAGAAGGCCGGTCTTCCATTCAGTCCGGTCAGAATAGAGCTGGAAGGGACCTTGGAGGGACCTTGGAGGTCTTCTAGCCCAACCCCCCCTAGGAGATCCTAGACCAGTGGCCGCGGCCCACTGGTGGGCCTTGAGAAAATTTTGGTGGGCCACAGAGAAATCTCACCCCGAGAGCACCCTCCACAAAGCAGTTAATCCAGGCTGCGCAGAAACACAAGGCTGCGCCGCCCACATGGCCCGCAGGAACCCTCCCCGCCCACTCACTCCTTACCTGGAAAACTTGCCTGCTAAATTGCAATTTTTCCTTTTTCCGACCATCATCTGTTCTGCTGTGCCGGGAGATTTAGATTAGCTAGGAAGCAGGAAATGGTTGGATTTTTTTGCTTTCTAGCTAGTCTTCAGATCTTCGGCTCTGCTTCCCTTAGGACTGAAGGTTTGCTTGCAAGCAAATTCAGTGCAGACTCACGGCAAGGAAATTTGAGAGACTGAGCTAGCCGATGGCAGATCTGAATGATTCTGTGAGCAACTCAATCTGCCTGCCTGCTTTGCCTGATTTTGGGTAAAAATTGTTTTTTTTTTAATTAAAAAAATTCAATATTTACATACATGGTGTGTTGTGAGTTAATTTTGTGAATTTGCTTGCTAGCAAATTTTATGAGTTTGCTTGGAAGCAAATTTTATGTGACAGACTGAGCTAGCCGATGGCAGATAGATAGATCTCTGAATGAAATCTGTGATTCTGTGAGCAACTCAATCTGCCCGCCTGCTTTTGCCTGATTTTGGGTAAAAGTTGCTCTCTTTTTTATGAAAAAAAATTCAATATTTATAATATTTACATACCAGCCATGCCCAGCCAGTCACATGACCACCAAGCCACACCCACAAATTAGGCCACGCCCACAGAACCAGTTAGCGGTCCCTGGGATCTAAAATAATGAGGTCGGCGATCCCTGAGGTCCAAAAGGTTGGTGACCCCTGTCCTAGACCATCTCAGACCAGTGGCTGTCCAGTCTTTTCAAACAGCCACTCTCCCTTTTTCTTGTTTTTTGCAGGTCCGGACTCGGTCGGTGGGCGAGTGCGTGGAATACTATTACATATGGAAGAAATTGGAGCGGTACGACTACTTCACCCAACAGACGCGGTTCGGAAGGAAGAAGTACGTCCTCCCCCCTGAAGCCGCCTGCTGGCCAGAGAATAATGACTGGTGTCATTGGCCATAAGGCAGCCAGGCATGAATCCCGATGGAGCTTTTGACCCAAATCCTTAAGGGGTTTGAATCCAGAAATCTTGATACGGGCAATTGAAAGGAGGGACCCAGGATAAGGAAATGAACACACACACGCACACCCTTGCTAAAGTCAGAATTTGGTAGAACACAGGTAGTCCTTGACTTATGGCCTTCCATTCATCGACCGTTTAAAAGTTACAATGGTGCTCAGAAAAGCGACTTTATGGCCGGTCCAAACTCAGAACCCTCGCAGTGGTTCACCTGATCAAAATTCAGCCGCTTGGCAAACAATAGGTATTTATGACCCTTATCTTGCGATCCCCATTTTCAACCTCCCCCAGTTTGCTTCCGACAAGCAAAGGGAACAGAGGAAAGTAGATCTGCTTAAGGACCGCATCATTCACTTAAGAACCGCTGGGTAATTTGTTTCATAACCGCGGCAAGAAAGGTTGTAAAACTGGGCACGGCTCACTTCACAATCTCCTTGCTTGGCGACAAAAATTTTGGCCCCAGTTCTGGTCACAAGCTGAACACTATGTCTTAAGTGGGGTGGGAGGAAGGGAGGGAGGAGAAGGAAGGAAAGAAGAAGGGAAGGACCGTGGTGGTGAGAACTCAGCATTGCAGGCCAACTCTGCCCACTGCCGGCAGTTCAGTCCTGACCAGCTCAAGGTTGACTCAGCCTTCCATCCTTCCGAGGTCGGTAAAATGAGGACCCAGATTGTTGGGGGCCATAGGCTGACTCTGCAAACCATTTAGAAAGGGCTGTAAAAGCACTGTGAAGGTGGTGTATAAGTCTAAGTGATAAGTGGGGAGGGAGGAAGGGAGGAAGGAAGGAAGGAAGGGGAGGAAGGAAGGAAGTGAGTGAAGGAAGGAGGGAGGGAGAGAAGGGAAGGAAAGGGAGGAAAGGAGTGAGTGAGTGAGTGAATGAGTGAGTGAAGGAAGGAAGGAAGGAAGGAAGGAAGGACCGTGGTGGCACAGTGGTGAGAATGCAGTACCGCAGGCTGACTCTGCCCACTGCCAGGAGTTCGATCCTCACCGGTTCAGAGTTGACTCAGCCTTCCATCCTTCCAAGGTGGGTAAAATGAGGCCCCCAGATTGTTGGGGGCCATAGGCTGACTCTGTAAACGGCTTAGAAGGCTGTAAAACACTGTGAAGCAATATATAAGTCTGAGCGCTATTGCTATTTGCATTTGATTTCTGATTTCCAATTGACCTCATGCCAGACAGAGACAACCAAAGGACAAGGATGTGGCCTGAGCAGGGGATATAAAATGGCCAGGTCTACCATAGATGGAAATGTTTAATCTTTGATTTAATCCTACAAAGTCTAGTAGGACTGCAGAGTGTGGAAGACTGTGAAAACTACAGGTCGTCCTCAACTTACAACAGTTCGTTCAGTGACCGTTCAAAGTCCACCACGGCACTGAAAATCGTGACTTATGGCCGTTTTTCACAGCAGATGCGTAGATGCACAATAACGTGATCTAAATTCAGATGCTTGGCAGCTGGTTCATATTTATGACGACGGCGGGGTGCCCAGAGGTCACGCGATCCCTTTTTGCGACCTTCTGACAAGCCAAGTCGACGGGGGATGCCAGATTCAACCGGGTTACTAACTCATCAACTGCAGCAATTCACTTAACAGTGGTGGCGAGAAAGTTCATAAAATGGGGCAAAGCTCACTTCATCGAAGTCTCACTTCACAACAGAAATTTTTTTGGGGGGAGGTGTCAATTGTGGTCATAAGTCAAGGACTGCCTGTAGTCTTGGGGTTGTTTTGTTTTGTTTTGTTTGTTCCCACCTAACATGTTTGCCCTCTTGGTCTCTTCTTCGTCTCTTCCCAACTCCGTAGGGATTACGTGGATAACTTCTTAGATGGCGGGGAAGTGGAAAGCGCCAGCCGCGCGCGAAGCTCTCCGCCCATCGCGTCGGCCACCGGCTGCCTGGACTCCTGTTTCAACCCGGATCATTTAACAATGGAGACCGCAGGTACGTTGTTGTTGGTTTTTTTACACGATTGCACGTCTTCCTCGGTGCCAGTAAAAAGGGGTCGGTTAGTCTTGCGTGTGGGTGCATCGAAAGAAAGAGAGGTAGGATCACTTGTATCTTAGGAACAGAAATCCCTGCATGGATTTAGATACATTCGACATCTGGCTCCTGCACATCCAGAAGGGGAAACAAAACATCTGGATGCCTTTCATATAAAAAAAAAATACATTACATTGCCATGTAGTAAACCAAGGCTAAGTTGAGCTAAGCTGAACTGAATCAGAATAGAGCTGGAAGGGACCCTGGAGGTCTTCTAGTCCAGCCCCCTGTTCAAGCAGGAAATCCTATACCATTTCAGACAAGTGACTCTCCAGTCTCTTCTTAAAAACCTCCAGTGATGAAACACCCACCATTTCTGGAGGCAAGTTGTTCCACTGGTTAATTGTTCTCACTGTCAGGAAGTTTCTCCTTAATTCCAGGTTGCTTCTCTCCTTGGTTAGTTTCCATCCATTGTTTTTTGTCCTGCCTTCTGCTGCTTTGGAGAATAGCTGGACTCCCTCTTCTTTGGGGCAGCCCCTCAAATATTGGAACATTGCTACCCTGTGTGTCCCCCCCCCCCCCCCCGCCCAAGGTCCTTCTTTTCTCTAGCTAGCCATGCAACCGTTCTTCATATGTTTTAGTCTCCAGGCCTTTTAATCATCCTAGTTGCTCTTCTTCGAATGAAGACTGGACAGCCACTCGTCTGGAATAGTATAGGGACTCCTGCTAGAGAGGTGGGTTGGACTAGAGGATCTCCTAGGTCCTTTCCAACTCTGTCATTTTATTCTTACCCAAGGCTAAAAGTATGGAGATCTGCCAAACTTAGGGGGAAGGTTGCCTAGGGCAGGGGGTTCAACGAAAAAGGCAGGCTTCCCAGCTCCCAGCAGAAGGCAATATTAATAACAACAACAACAACAACCACCGAGTTGGAAGGGACCTTGGAGGTCCTCTAGTCCAACCTCCTGCTCAGGCAGGAAACACGATAACATTTCAGACAAATGGCTGTGCAGCCTCTTCTTTAAAATTTCCAGGGATGGAGCACCCACAATTTCTGGAGGCAAGTTGTTCCACTGATTAATTGATTGTTCTCACTGTCAGGAAATTTCTAATTCTTTGGTTAGTTTCCATCCATTGCTTCTTGTTCCGTCTTCAGTTGCTTTGGAGAATAGGTTGACCCCTTTCTTCCTTGTGGCAATCTCTTAGATATTGGAACACTGCTATCCTGTCATCCCTACACCTTCACTACAGCAGGTAACCCAATTCCTGCAACCGTTCTTCATATGTTTTAGCCTCCAGTCCCCTAATCCTCTTGGTTGCTCTTCTCTCCCAGTGTGGCCTTACTAAGGCATTATAAAGTGGTACTAATACTTCAACTGATCTTGATTCTCTCCCTCTGTTAATGCAGCCTAAGACTGCATTGGCTTTTTTTGGCAGCTGCAACACACTGCTGGCTCATGTTTAAACGATTGTCTACTAGGAGTCCAAGATCCCTCCTGCAGTTACTACTGTTGAGGCGTTTTAGAGGAAGGGATAAGAATTGTGTCTTCCCTCTCTGATCTGTAGGACTGTTAATGTGGTCCCGCAGATAACCTGGCTGTCAGGATTCCGGCACTTACCCCCCATTTAAATCATGAGTCTCGAGCCAAACTTCCAAAACTTCAAAAGGATTTATTGGGAGTTAACATGCCAGCACTGCCTGGGTGTAGCCAACTCTTGAGACACATAATTCACTGTCACCCTTGACCTTGATTTTTCTCCCCACCCCCTGCGTGTATCGCAATTCATATTCTCCGATGGGACACCTCCATAGCCCAGAGTCATCAATCATACTCTCCAGTTAGAATTTTGCTTGGCAGAAATTTCAATCACCTAGTTACTATCTTTGGAAACATTTATGGAATGCACTTTCGGTTTTGGAAGCTGCTACACTGCTTCCCTCTCTCTTTCTGTTGGCAACTCTAAAAAGACCATAGGAATATTTTATGAGTGGACACTGGCCCAGTGTCATATCTATATTGCTCAGCTACCCAGACCGAAAAAGCTCAGGGCAGTTTATGAAAGGCGATACTGAAAGGCGATAATGAGCGATACTGAATAGGTTGGAATTTTTCCCCCTCCTTACACCCCCACAATCCCCTGCAGAGCCGTTGAGCATCGAAAGCGCAGCCTGCAGTCTCGGCAGCACCAGCGAATCCGGGCACGGCTACGAGTGCAGCACGCCTTCGGAAACAAACTGTTCCTTCGACCCCCCCGAGGAGGTGCCCCCCGCCAGCCGTGTCCCGCCGTACCTTCAGCACCCACCAAACCCCTCCGAAGCCGGATTCTACCAGATGGCTGCGACGGACAAGCAGGAGGAGCCCTTGCGTTGCTCGGGAGACGTCGTCCCCGTGGACTTCGCCCCACTCCCCGAGAGCGTCACGGAAAGATTACCTTTAATTTCCAGCCACGCGGGACTGGAGGGCGATCCAGAGACGTTGGTGGCCCCCGCGCAAGTGTCCTTAGCTGTCCCTGATTTCAGCCTCCTGGGTCTTGGAGAAGTCGATAGCCTCCTGACCACACCGCAATCCTGTCCGGCGCCCGTGGCCCATTCAGACTCAGTGTCTCAGTGACAGTGGCCACCGAGAGGTCCACGGTAGGCCAGGAGCTGAACTCGGATTCCGGGGCGGGAGACGAGGGGGACGAGAGATCGAAGATCTCGGCTGGACGGTTCTCTTTTCCTGGTCCTTGGTGGCAAGCTCGCTGCTCCTCCCCTTCCGAAACCCGAGGGGCACCGGTTCTCCCGCCAGCCCTACCCCCTCTGGCAGTTCCAGTGTCTCTCCGGCACAACCAAACACCTCCGTCACAATCTCCTGTGCAGCTGTCGCAGGAGCTGGCCGAAGGGAACCGTGACCCCCATGGGGTCATCACGGACTGGGGGCCCCTCTAAGCCATGCGAGACAGACCGAGTCTCCCACCCGCTCTCCCCCCCACCCGCCATCTCCACCATCCAGCCAAAAACCTCAGATTACCGGGGGGGGGGGGGGGGGGAGAGGCGCTTTGGCCTCAGAACGGACACTCTGCAGGGAGGAAGGCTGACTGCCAGCACTTTGGAGAGGGACAGGGCTGGATGGGGCGTGTGTGTGTGTGTGTGTGTGTGTGGAATGCAAGGTTTCCTGGAGCGCAGGACTGGACGTAGAAATGCATCGGGTTCCTAATCACCGGAGCGAAATAGGGTCGAGAACACCTGCGTTTTTAGTTCCATCAATGTCAGGACCGGTTACCTCCCCTAGTTCAGGTACCCCTGCTTTGCTGAGGGTGGGTGGGAGCGTCCGATCGTGTGGCTATACATGGCACACCGGCGCACGCGCATAGGTGGGACGACTTGTTGCCAAATTTTGTGACTGCCCCCCCCCCCCCCTGTGTTGTTAGAACGAGCGGAAACCCTGTTGGGTTTTCCTGTTTCCTCCTCCCTGAGACCTCTTCCCCGGAATCGGGGGCAGGTTTGGGGCAGAAAAGGGGCCTTTGAATTTCATATTTGTCAACCCTGGCCACTTCAACTCCCAGAATTCCCAAGCTGGCCTTTTGTGGACTTCAACTCCCAGAATGCCTCAGGCAGCCATGCTGCCTGAGGCATTCTGGGAGTTGAAGTCCACCCACCTGTGCAAGTAGGAAGACAAAGGAGCAGAAAAGAGATGAATTCGGCCTAGCGGCATCTTTGGATGATATTCAGCGGCCCCCCCGTTTTTTCCTTGCCTGTCCCCCTTCACCCCACCCCACCCAAAAAAGCATACATTCCACGTTTAGCAGAGGGATTTCATGCAAGGGAGAGATTTGAAGGAGGAGACCAAAAAAACCACCCTCTGATTTTGCCCTCTTTTATTTTTGCTAGAGAGAGAGAGAGATTTTTCGCAACCTCCTCCATTCGCAGCCGTTCTAGCGCTGCTGCTTCTTCCGTGTGCCAAACGCAGACTTGTGGGGTGGGCTTTGGGGTCGGGGTACAGAGAGAAGAGGAGTAAGAGAGGGAAGGGGATCAGGAAGAGTTTCTCCCCACTTTCTCCACGCTTGGTTGTTTGGACCGCGCCGAAAGGTTGGCAGGATTAGTAAGGACAACGGCCGTGCCATAGACGCAGCTTCCTTCTCGACGGTGTTCCCGGATTGTGTTTCGGATCCTTTTTAAATTTTTAAACCGTGAAGTCCCGAAGAGGGGGGTGGGTGGGGTATTGCATTTATACTCTTAAAAGAGAACACTCTCCTCCCAATTCAACCAGATAAGAGACAGCCCAAGCTTTGCATTCTCCCCAGTTTTTTTTATAACAACTGGAGCCTTAGCACCGTTAAGGAAATGAAGGCACCACCTTACCCCTCATCCCCTACCTTGCTTCCATCCAATCACTGCCTCGTTTTGTTTGTGGGCTGTTTCTGCCCCCAGGTGTTTTGGGGGGGAGGGAGAGAAGCCAGAAATGTTTTGATTTTTGGGGTGGGTGGGTGGGGATTTTTTTTTCTTTTTTTAAACCGTTCTAGATCCAGTCGCGGAGTTAATCGTCCTTCATCCTCCCCGGCTTCTTTTGAAGCGGAAGGTCAGTGGAAGGACTCACTCACGCCTCTCCCACCACAGACCTTGGAGAGCCTCTGGGAAAAAAAAGAGAGCTTGCAGAAACAAAGGCGCCAGGTCCCAGGGAAGGAAAACCCCCCTCCAAAATGAAGCGGTGATG